CAAGTGTTTATTCCATTGAGCCACCTCCCCAGCCCCTGGTTTGGGGGACATGAGTATGGAGTCACAGGAGGCTTTTTTCCAGCCTGCAGTCCCACAGTTAAGACCTTCCATGGGTCCTGATGTGGCTGCTTGGGCATGACTGCCAGGCATATCAGTCAGGGCGCAGGATTCTACTTGGTACAACAAGCAGGTCTGTATCACCCCAAACCCAGAGTCAGGCATAGCCTTCCTGTTGCTCTCATGCTTAAGTGCTCTCCTTCCAACCTGTTCTGTTTGTAGCCTTTTCACTGCCTGTCTTCTTAGAAATGGCCTTAGACCTATAAGTCATGGCCAGAGCATGTTGGCTCTGTCCTCCCTACCAGATTTTTTTGAGTAGAAGTGCCTGGGAGGTTATTTTTTCCAGCCTGCAGTCCCACAGTTAAGACCCTCCATGGGTCCTAATGTGGCTCCTTGGGCATGGCTGCCAGGCATATCAGTCAGGGCGCAGGATTCTACTTCCTGTTGTCAACTGTGCCAGGGCCTGGGAGGGTCTTCTGCTCCCCAAGATGAGGTCAGCACACTCTCACTTCTTGCTTGCCTAGGTTGTGTGGCAGGAATTAGCTGGAGAAACTTCCTCCTCCTCACAGGGCTGGCACCCTTGTTGGTGACACTCCCCACAGGACACCTCCCTACCTCCAGTGACCTCATGTCCATGTGGACTTCTTACAGGCTTTTATCCAGATAGGACCCTAGACTCCATAGCAGAAAGGGACTTTTGAACTTAGGACCCACCGTACATATGTATGTATTTTACCACTGCAGTTTTTTAGATGACGATGTTGAGAGGTTGTCACTTGGCCAAGGTCACACTGATAGTGAGAGAGCATTAGACCTAAACCCAGTTTCCTGATTGGAAGCCACAGCACTTTTCTTGTCACCTACTGACCCTGAGGATCAGTAAAATAAATACTACATTTGTGTGGTACCCTCTAAGATCCCACTTGCTTTTCATTAAGGGGGGAGCAGTCTCATCTCCCTGTTGTGTTGAACTTCATCAACTGAAACCCCTAAATTGCTTTATAACTTTGTTTTGTTCCAATTTTTTTTTTTTTTTTAATATTTTACTTATTGGGCTGGGGAGATGGCTCAGTGGAATAAACGCTTCCCCGGCAAGTGCAAGGGCCTGAGTTCAATCCCTGGTTCCACAAAAAA